AATTCCCTATTGGTTAAACAAGTAAGCCAACAGAACTCTGTTGTAAGGCAAAAGCAAAGGCCAATGAAATTAGTTGTACATTGATCCCTCTGTGCTAGAAAAACATTGTGCTCCGCTCCATGCTGTTAATCCTTTAAACCTGCAAGAACATACGCGACAGATGAGAAGTTTTCAAGTTCTCTGGACTATGAAAGAGGATACATCTATATGTTACAGGATTCATTTATAGGTACGTGTCAGGTAGTGTATAAAAGAGGATACTTGTATCTAATACGAGTATGTCAAGTTTATGTTTTGAAGGATCCACACAAAGTACCTATACCATTATCACATCTTCTTGGCACTGGTAGCCGGTTGGCCAAGGTAGATAAAGGATCCAGATAACATAGGGATACATAGACAAGCTGAAGGAGATCAAGAAAAATCTACAACATGCCTTCTCTGAAAGATGACCAGATTCGGCACATTCGTAGAAGAATGCACTTCTCTATATTTATTGACTTTTTGAAGTACAATTTGACAGTTAATTCCAAAAACTTATTTGCTAAATCAACAAGTTAAGGCTTCTAAATGATAGCCTATACAAATGAATGCATGTTATAAATATTAATTTGAAAGCAAATGAAAGCATCAGCAATGAGCACATCCCATAGAAATTATAGAAACAAGAACCAAATTTTCTACATTTTCTTAGTTTTAGGGAAACAAACAAAACCAAATGTAGCCATGGGTTCCATGTTCAAGAACTTTCAACAACATTTGTTTGATAACCGAGAAATTTACGAGCACAGTTCGAAACTCGGTGGATAATGGGTCCGCTCCTCTACCCTTCTAAACTTAAATTCCAGGCTTTTATCTGCGTCAGGGTTCAAACGCATGGCGTATGCTTAACCCACATATCATATGCTGCTTCTTACCGCTAGACCAGAGCCCTGGGCAGAACTTTTAACAGACACAGAAAGATTCTGAATAAGACTACTGCAGTTTCAGTGTTCCAGAAGGAAAAAAGAGGTGTACCAGTGGGACAGAGTAATCCCGTTCAACAATCAACAATCAAGGAGATTTTATCAAAGGCAGATTAAAGAAATCATAGAAAAGCTAAGAGGAGGTACGTAGATCTGAAGGCCCTATAGTAAGACTGATATATGAAAGGACAGTGGGTAATTTAAACTAAACAATAAGGACATCTAACATAAAAGATATGTTCCAAGATTCCAGGCTTTTCTTAGCATCAGAGTACAATGCTTACTTGGTCCCTAACTAATTCTCGAAGTTATAAAGCTAGTGGCCAGGCTAGGCAAAACAGGAAATTGTCCTTAATGGATTTCATGTTCAAAATACTCAGGCAATAGAGCATAACTAGTGATTCAGTATCCAGTAATCTGAAAGGCACTGGTCCAGTATGCTGAAATGTAACAATCCAGTGGCACTGGATTGTTACATTTCAGCATATATAAGGCCAAATAAGTTCGTATTCTGAACAGGCTTGCGAAGAACCTGATTTAAGTTCAAAAGCCTTTAGATGCTCAAATTGTTTTCTATCATCTTTCGAAGAGTATATTGAGACCATTTATTACTAGGGGGGAGCAGCAGCATCTCTGAACCTTGCTGTATTGTCAATACCTAAAGTTTAGATTGTTGGATACATATGAACTTCAGCGAATGTGAGATCTGCACGTTTTTTCTTTAAGCCTTGGTAACAATAGTTTTTATCATGGTCAGATGCATGCATGTACTTGACATCAAGCACAAAAAAAGGAGAAAAAAACACTGTTGATCTATTCAATTACCTTGTCTCAAGCAGGATTATTGATGGATAGGGCCACTAGACATCCTTATTTCGATCCCAAGGAAACATCTTTACGGTTTCCTTTACAAAAAAGGTCCGCTGCTGTCAATCTAACTCCGATGGTTGGCAAATGAATAGGCTATAATAAGATTTGTACCTGCTAAGTAGGAGTTGTGGTATGTTCCACATCCCACCAAATCCTCCATCCCCTCCCCTCCCCTTCCTTCCCACTATTGTTTTTCCTACGCTTTGTTTCTTCCCACTTTCATCTCCAAAATGTCATGTACATGTGGTTTTATGCTCTACCAATAATGAATGTAATCAGTTACTTCTTCGATCATAGTAATATGAAATAGAAGGAGAGAGTGTCAATGTGAAAAATGATTGAAATGATCGTAAAATGAAAATATGATTTTAGCTGCAAATTGCACACAAATATGAAAATATGAACTAATATCCCTTTTTCCGTCACGCAATCATATATTAATATTTAAATTCTATCTTGATACCAAAGAGCAGCTTGGAACCTGATAATTGGTGCTCTATTGGCAAACTTATCTCCATTAGTTTACAATAATAGACTAGACACGGACTAACAGCAAAACCCAAAAGGACCTACATTTCTTTTTTGGTAACTATCCATTTGATTAATTACCAAGTGAGAACTTTACAAATCAGCTTGACTACCTCAGTCAGCTCTCCCTCTAAAGCTAATCACACATAACAAATCTACTCCAGGTTTCAATTCTAAAGCAGTAGAACATTTATCTAAGATCAATATTACACAATTTTAGGAAATTAGAACAAAGTGGAATGAAAGGTCTAATCATGGTTAAATATCAATATGATGGTACTACTTTCATTTGCGAGGCATATCATACCTTTGCAAGGATGAAGTAAGTCATTGATGCCTTGTTTTAGACGATCCATCAATTGATTGGGAAAGGACATTTTGGTCAGCATTTCAGACGAATCTACCACCTTCCCTAATGATTCTTTGACCCTTAAGCTTGAAAAAGCTCGCAGAGCCCTTTCTTGCAAGCCAGAAATGTTTGAATCGAGGTAACACCGACTCTCTCTTAGTATACCAGTGGATCGAGCCATATCTATAGCACCACTTCTGGTAGCTGTGAAGGCTATGAAATAATATATAAGTGCATTAATGGACGAACTCATCACACCAGCTCGAAATCTCAAACAACAGATATCAATCAAATACAAGTAAAAAGAAACAGAAAACTTAAAATGTCCAATTCATATTGTTTCTGAGCATGACAGTTGGTCATTTTTACCATTGTAAGGAACTGTATAGATGTAATTGGCAGGAAGGCCAATGCCAATTCCAAGCAGAGAGAAGCCAACGCTGAATCCAACACCACAGCCAGCTCCAACATAACCAATTGCCTCAGGACCAAATCCAGGACCCCATCCCACACCACAGCCAATACCTATTCCCATGCCCCAGAAGGCTCCGTATGTAGGATGCACTGGATTCCATCTTTCATATCTCCTCAGCAAGCCCTTTATAATCATTTCTACCTACAATTACAAGCCCATTAGTCTACGAATACTTTGAGTAAAACTTAAGATTACCAAAATGAAAAATCCCAACTCTGGAGAGGCTTTTCTCTTTAGGGAATTGGGTCAATTTTAAGCCATGTGGGAATTGTTTTTTTTGTTTTTTTTTGAGAAAGAAAACCCTTTTAAGAGGAGCTTTAGCGCAACGGAGGAGCTTAGTGCACCGAGCTCCCTGTTTTCTTTTAAAAGAACGCCATTTGTGAAGTTATCTTATCAAAACTTTCTAATAGTGTGGAACACACTATGGAATTTTATTTTACTTCTTTGGAGGCTCTATGCTTTCTCATTTTTGTACTAATTCTTCCCATTTATCCCATTTAGCCATCAAATTGTGGTACAAAAGGATCCATTTAGTAACTTGAAAGTTAACCAGAAATAGAACCCCTTCATTCTCATTTTTGTTCGAGCCCCTCCATAAGTGGCAGAGCTAAAGGTAACGAAGGAGGTTTAATTGAATCCCAACATTCTACTAAACAAGTAGAGTAAAAACAAATCATTTTGTATGACGGTGGTGTCCAGGCCAACTCTCGCGCACCTCGACAATTTTATCGGGTACCTGCTACCTCATACTAACACAGGTATCGAGTAACTCTACCCACTACAGCTTAGATAGATGGGAAGAAATCACTTACTGTGTTTTGCCTCCACTAGATATCTTTGTATATATATATAAAAAATGTTAAATCCTTAAGATAAGTTTCTTGGTATGACATTTTTTGCATTCTTTTGAATCCTCTTATCCGAATTTCTGCCTGTTCCACTTGCTTCCATAAATACCATCAGATATTGTTAACACCCCTAGCAGATAAACCCTATAATATTAAGTGAAAAACACAAGTTATACTCTTGAAAATTAGGGAAAAGCCAAGAACAGAAGAGCTCCAAAAGCCTTCTTTAAACAATGAAACCTCAAAGTAGCTAGCAACAACAAGAAATGAAATGGACAATTTATAATACATGATTCACTAGTAGAAACTAATAAGTAAGAGCACAGAAAGTAAAGAGATTAAGGTTCTACCATGAAAGGGTGCGCAAAAGCGGACTCTCACGGCAATGCTCTGGAGACTTCAGTAGTGCTGAGGGAGCGGTATTGGGACATTTTTGAAATTGATCGAAATTTTGTTACAATCTGATTGGTAACAGGAAATATGATGCAGGACCTCGTTGGCGTAATAAACTCTTATGGCCAATATCAATTCCATGTGCCTATCCACATTTCTGAGTTGGTCCATAATACAGGAAAAAGTACAATAAAACCCCATAATTTTTGTAGAATAGATACTTTAATCCTTGAACTAAATTATAGTATATCATTCTCCTATTGGAACTTCAGAAGAGTACAGCAACCTCTTGTTATAGCGGGTAATACAACAACATATATATATATATATTGGTTCCTGTACAATTCAAAATGGAGTAACATTATCATTTGTTAAATTGTTCATTTAATATTAACCCGCCATTAAGAAAAAGTCTATCTCCCTTGACCCCTATAAAGAAGCTCAACCAGAGAGTAATATTGAACTATAATCAAAAGTTGATAGGTAAATTTGAATTTTTCTTCAAATATAATTTAGATAAATACAATAACACATTCTACATTGGAGCTTCGTCAATGACAAGAGCAAATACAAAAGAATTTGCTAACAATAAAAAATAATAATGCGAAATTGAGCAATTTCTAGTAGTATTAGGAGAAATTTGAACTTTATCCCATATATGTAACTTGTAAATATCTTCAATTACAGCGTATAGCTTTGAACTGTTTCCCATATATATATGGAGTATATAAGGTGTAACGGTAAATATCTTCTTTCAAAGCGTACAGCTCTTTAATTTTGAGACTTCGGAATCAACTTACGGCAGGGGCAATATAGTAATTTCAAAGTGGCTGAAGCTATAGATAAGCTTTCTCAAAATCTAGAACAAAGGCATCACCACCAACCAAATAGAACAATGTCAAAACTGAAGAGATTGTAAACAGCAGCAGGGTAGCGAAGAAAAATTATGGAAACATGTTCATTTCCAAGACTAGTACTATCCCCCTTACACTTCCCACCTCCATTAACCTCAAACAAACACTTCCTTCAATTCCCATTATCTAAATCCAAACAACTACATCAAACTCCATCTCATTTATCACCTCTCTTTGCCACCCTCAATTCTCCAAAAGGTTTTGGACCTAAGAAAACCAAAAAAATCAAGAAACCAAAAAAAGAATATGAAGATGAAGAAGAAGAAGAGGAAGATGATGATGAGCAACAACAAGGAGGAGTTATACCAGAAATAGTGACAAATAGAATGATAAGCAGAATTGGACTTTCAGTTGGTATACCTTTGTTTATTGGTTTATTGTTTTTTCCGTTCTTTTATTATCTTAAGGTTGGATTAAAGATTGATGTGCCAACTTGGATACCCTTTATTGTGTCATTTATTTTCTTTGGGACTGCCTTATTGGGAGTTAGTTATGGGATAGTTTCCTCTAGTTGGGATCCATATAGGGAAGGTTCACTCTTGGGTTGGAATGAAGCTAAGAAGAATTGGCCTGTTTTTTGGAACTCAATTTGGGGTGGATCAAGAAACAAGTAGAACTTTGCCTATATATACATTTCTTGACCTTATTGTAACTATGCGGTTTTTAAATGGTTTGAGACTCTGATGGTTTTAAGGCTTAACCTATGTCTGAATTTGATATTTACTTTGTATTAGTTCAAGCATTATCTGAGAGTGTATATACACAATTTTTAAAAATATTGTTACACATGGACAAATTAAAACACAATTTGATAATAGTGAAGAAATACAAGATTTTGAAGCTTATTATAGTCCTTTGCATTTGTTAATGAATGTATAAGACACATCTTTTCTCATTGATACTACTCCATGTTTGATTTCATGTCATATATTTTTTATTTTGTATAATATACCTTGTGGTCCAGTCCTTTTCTTATTCTATTCCCGCGCATAACGAGAGTTTAGTACACCGGAATGTCCTTTATATTTTTTCTTTTGTGCTAGATAAGATGACCATTTTCTAATTTGCAAGGTTAATATTTCTCACCAGTCTGCTCTAATTTTTATTATTTGCAAACTAAAATTTGTTCATCAGATACATGCACCGAATTATTTTGTTCAAGTTTAATTCACCTAGTAGCTTTATAAAAATATTGGATCTAGATAGTGTGGATGTCAATAAAGGGAAGCCTCTGAGTAATAGTCAAGTAGTCTCTGTATGACTTTGACTTAGAATCAGTCACTTATGCTTGTGTCAGAATAACTTACAGTAAACCCCTCGGGATGCAGTCTTTCAATGAACCTACGTAAATGAGAGATATTCCGTGCATTAGGCTATTTTGATTTATTTATACAGTATGTTTGTCAATGTTGATTTAGTTCAAAGTGTCATTGGTGTCTTAAAGATTCATAATCAGCAGAAAACTAAGTGTCATAAACAACTCTTAATCGTTTCTGTAGTGGGAAAAATTGAGTTTACATATTAAAGTGGTGTAAAGATGACGTGTTATGACACATAGACTGGTCAAAGAGTTACAACTGGCAAAGAGGCACGAGTTGCAACAGATACGAGCAGAGGCAAAGGAAGAGGCACGAGCGGTTATCCAAAAGGCTCAGCGCTCGTACTTATTTAATCTCAAGAATCAAGGGGAATGAATCTAACACTACATCGGAGTACAGATACAGTATTTAATGAGCCTTACATACTAAAAATGTTAGAGAATAAGTATTAAATACAATGATTGTGTAACGTAGCATTTAATGTTTTTAATTGTCTACAATGGCCTTATTATGACAAAGGCAAAACGCATATCTCCAAAAAGCTATAAAAGGGAGAGAATGGATTAATTGTAACGACACGAAATACTATCTAAATATACCGATTTACTTGCTTTCCTTCTGATTATCTTATTGTCAGCTAAATTACTTTCTTTCATATATTCTTTTGATTATCAGTAACCCGAGTTCTTCTAAATTAAAGTTTTGACCGAAATCCCATTTTTTGGTTAAACAAATTGGTTCCGTTACCGGAAATCTGATAATCTATCCTCTTTTAGCTTAACTTTCCTTGTTGCATCAACCATGTCGAACAACAATGATAACATTCAAGGAAACCAACAACTTCAGGGAAATCCACAGGGTAATCAAACCCCGATCTCTTCTCCCCGAGGCTCTCCTAGGCGGTCACGTGAAGGCTCTCCTGATGGATCTCATACAAATGGAAACACTCAATTTGAAAATATTGAAGCTATCGATGAAGCTTTGCAGAAACTAATTGTTGCACAGGTCAATAAAGCTCTTGAGGTTTTTGCTAGCCAGTTACCTCCTGCACCACCCACACCCACTCCAAATAACAACACTTTGGAGAACCCCCGTTCCGGGCTTGTTAATTCAGGTAGTAGTGGAACCCCCAGCGAATCACATGAGGGAGAACTAGGTAACTTAGTCAATTATGATTTACAAAATTTAGTACTAACTGTTGATACCCAATTTTTCCTATATTTTTTTTATGTAAAATACCTTTCAAAATAGCATGTATAAGCATATATGAGTATTTTCTAAGGCTGCATTGTTTTTCTTAAATTTTCAAAGATTTTTAAATCAATTTACTGCCCTATTTTATCAAGAAAACCCAATAATTATCCCCAAAGTTATTATTTTGGTGATTTATTTATTGGAGTCTCATGTTTATATTAAAATATAGCTAAGGTATTTTTTACACATTTTTACAAATTTATTTGGTATTTTTTAAGGATAGCCATTCTAGGTTTAAATTCGTCTCATATTCATAAAATGAGATTTTATATTTTTAAATAGATAATAATGTGTTATAAATCATTTTGATGCTTTCAATTTATTTTCGGAAATTAATTTACTATTTTTATAATTTTAAAGGGAAAAACTGGCTATTTAAATAATAACCCAATTCGTTTCAATTTTAGCCTAAAATCTGACCCCTAATTGGACCCCAATTTCAGCCCAATTTCAATTAAAACCTGACCCAGGCCCCAATTACCCCTACCCGACCCAAAACCTTATTAAATCCTGGCCGTTGATCAAAAGGATCATCAACGGCGCCCATCCGTCCTTACCTTTTTTTAACCAAACGACCCCCCCAACGCCCCTCTCATTCCTCACTCGTCTCTATCTCTCTACTTCTGGTTCTCTCTAGAACCTTCCCTCTCCTCTCCTCTCCGATGAGTTCTGTTCATCTTCTCCGGCCACCTTCTAACCTAAATCTATAGTGGTCTCACCACCCACCAAGCCACCTATGGCTCCTCAAGTTTGGTTAACTGAAGCTTCATGACTCGACCACGAAGATTTGGGTCCATACCTCTATTGATTCAAGCTTTACGGCCATCTCCGGCCCTGCTCCGGCAAGCTATGTCTGTTTCGATCCTAGCTACGACTCCTTTTGTTTAGATCCAAGCCTTTCTCACCATTTGGGTTCCTCTACAAACCCTAGCTTTGAGGTTTTTCTGATCTCTTTAGATCTGTTCCAGATCTATGTTTTCCCTAAGTTTTTAAATGATTTTCTGGATTTTCTTTCAAAAAAAAACTATACTTTCGAAACCATCTCTTTTTTCGATCTAGGGTTTTTCTGAAATATTTAGATGTTTCTCTGATTTTCTCTTTCTTTTGTGTGTTTCTTCTACTATATTTTCCTCTACTGTGTTCTTGCATGTTTCTTCTACTGTATTTTCCTCTACTGTGATTCTTGTGTGTTTCTTCTACTGTATTTTTCCCTACTATGTTCTTGAGTGTGTCTTATTAAGTTTCCTACACTATGTTCTAGTTAAGTTTCTTCTAATATGTCTTAATATGTTTCTCCTACTGTTCTTATCAGTTTCTCCAGTATGTTTCGTATTAGTTTCTTATACCATGTTTTCTTTGAACTCTTCTGCTATGTTTCGTATGCTACTCTTCTATCATGTTTCTCATGAGTTTTGTTGCTGAGAGTAACATGTCAAAGGTTTCAGTTCTTTTCTGAGACCTCTGAACCTGTTTCGACTCAATTACTTGTCCTCTCATCTCTGCACTCGATTGATGGTGGAAACCCTAGAATTTGGGGGTTCGTCCTAGTTTGGAAACCATTGGCTATGTGATTTGCCTGAACTGGTTTAATTTCAAAAACCCTAAACTCTTTC